GGCATGTTTTGAACTCACTTTTATATATGAGCTGATACCTGTTCACTGAATTTTACCAAGGGTCATTTGTATAAGGTGATATTTTCATGGTGAAAATTTACATGGCACAAAATTCCTAGAAAATATTATATATACTACTCTATAGCTTTTGGACATATAGCTGCCCCTGTTTTATTGATAGTTTCTGAAAGAGATTAAATTTCTTTCCAGATGTAGTGAATAGAGATGTAACAATAAACACTCACTACATTACAAACACCTTATTCAAAGAAATTATTCATTTAGATAACAATACAGAAGCCATTTTCTCATCAGTGCCCAAACTACCTAGATAAAGCAGTGCTAAGAGAAAAGAAAACACTAGTGAGCTATTTACTCTAGTGCCTTGTCAGTCCCAGGTATTAAGCTCTTTCTTCCACCTACAGACTAACCCAGGCTGTTTTTATGGTCTCTGAACCATGTGGTCTACCTGTACTCACTGCTATTTAGAATACAGATATTAATTTACCTTTTGAACATTTCCCTGCTCCTTGCCCAAAGCCTCCAATGCCCCAAGCATTTCTCAACACTCAAGCCTTTTCTCTGTTTTTTTCACAGCAGCCCAACTCAGGACTCTCCTCTCCCCATCATCTTTGCTTAGACAGACGCTGATTTGCCCTCCAGGGAGAAGTGCAGAAATGACACTTAATCTGTCTGCATTTAATTCTCCCTCTGAGTTAAATAAAGTAATCTGAATTCTAAACATCTTTTTCACACAATGGATTCAACCCTGTCAGAAAGGTTTCTTCCTACCCTGAATTCTGGACAATTCTTGTGGAAACTCATTTACCTCCACGGCTAGGCTTATTCCCATGACTAGGCGATCCCTTGATGAAGTATGCTCTTTATGTTTTTTATCTGTGGGTACTATCATGTTTTTTCTCTGATTATAAATTTCCTAAGCGACCCTAAAATTGATTCTGCAATTGTTATTGGTTTGTATTAGAATGTATTACAAAGAAAGCTGACAGAAATTATGTAAATTTACTCACTTTCCTGTTTTTCTCTCTTTTTATTTCCTTCCCTTCTTTCTGGTATTTATATTCAGAATACCAAAGGCAGATTTAAGAGCAATTTGGAAATATGTTAAATAAGACAACACCAGGTCTCAAGTTGCAATTTAATTCTCTTTGCCAACATAGCTAAAGATGCAGAATGCTTTTTATTACAAGAGCTGGTGGGAGGAAGACTGGAGGAAGGAAAAGCCATTAAGTGTATTGTGATGCAGATGATTGATAGGGCTCTTAAAAGAAGTCTTTTAATATGTGCATTAATTCTCCTTTTCATCTTACCGCCTGCTAGAATATCAGTTGTACAGACACTTTTTTCTGGAGCAAATATTTATCCTGAGTCATACATTGACATTGTATGGCTTTGGATTTCAGGGAGCAGGCTGATGCCTCTCAGGACATGTAAGCACAGAAGGCCACACCCATGAGAAAGTAGCTGGTTTTAGAGGCAGCTTCAGGAGCCATATTTGCCCTCCAAACCAAGTCAAGTGTGGTACTTTTAATTTTGAAAATATGATAAGGGGTCTGCTTCTGAACTCTTTCATGCATTTATGTCCTATTTTGTTTTATCCAATGGGAAAATAGGGTTTTCTGGAGCTCTGAACACATACTATTGAGATAGTGATAAATATACACCATTTAAGATAAACCAGAAGATCCAGCTGTTGATAGTGCTATTATTTCAGCTCCTCTACCCATTATTGTCTTCAGCCCCTGTCCTACCGCAGAGGCCACTGAAGTTTTATGTCTTAATTCTCGCCCATCAGACTCTGGAGCCAAGTTCCCTTCTTTTAGGAGAACTCAGCAACAGACAGTCCAAACCTGAGCTGACTGAACTGAATCACAAGGAATGTATCCCTCTTTTTGGTGAAGGTCAGTAGGTATGAATTGAATAAGTGATACCGTTGCAATGAACCCAGTTATGAATAACTGGAAAGGAGCAAAGGGAAGGCCAAATAATATAGGCATGTCATTTGTACAGCTTTGCCAGGAAGCTGCAATTTAACACTCCCCAGGGAGCCACCAGTCTATTCCCTGCAGATCCTGGGGGAAGGGACTGGAAAGGGGAAGAATAAACACATGCCCAGTAAAATCTGATGAAATAAGGAAGGACTTGTCTGTCAGTCACACCTAGGAACAGGTCATTGGCCAGAGTAGACATGGCCACTGCAAGCACAGAAAGATCTCAGATATTTAATCTCCTAAACAAAGGAGTTCTCTCTCTTGGTTCACTCTGACACTCCTGCTCTCCTGTATTTGTCCATATGGCCCACAGCCATGTGGAATGCCACACACAATGGGCTAATGGACTGCAATTAGCCTGATGCTAAACTGGACCCAGCTCCACCATGGAAGAGGAACTCTGGGAACCCTACTCCCACTATCAACAGAGAAAGATCATCCACACATTTCTTTGATAACAGAAGCAAGGAATTGAATATAAAGAGAAAAACATACACATACAATGAAGTGAATTCCATAGGATTTGGACAGTGGGCACTTGGGTGTCTCACCAGACGCTCTGCCATGAAACAGTGGTCCTCAGAGTGGTCCTCGGAGCACCCAGAAATGCTGGCTATGCTTTCCTCACCCAGTCTGCCGGTAGACACATGGGTTGCATTATTCTGGTTACAGGAGAGCAGCCCTCAGATCATAGGGCAACTTGTGCCTGCACTCACACCACCTGTCTCCCTTTGTGTTTGTGGGGAGTCAGCCTTGTCAAATTTTAGTCTCCTCAACTCTAGGCCTGAAGATCTCAGACTATTTGGAATTTCCCTTTTTAAAAAAAAAGCATTATTAAGACTGATTTTAAATGTAGTTCTCAAGAGCCCCCCCTTCCCCCTTTTAATGTATAAACCAGGGCACTAGGGATCTGACTGGGATCAAATCTTGTGTTCAGTTTGCTCATCTGCAAGCGGGGTTGATAACAGAACTTTCATCATATGTCATGATCCGTGTGAGGGCAAATGAGCTAATGCATATAAAGCACTTATAGCCCTAGCCAGCTTGGTCCAGTGGTTAGAACATCGCCCCAAGGACTGAAGGATCCTGGGTTCGATTCTGACCAAGGGCACAAACCTCAGTTGTAGGCTTGATCCCCAGCCCTGGTTGTGCAGGAGGCAACCAATCGATGTGTCTCTCTCACATGGATGTTTCTCTTCTCTCTCCCTGTCTCCCTTTCACTCTCTCTGAGAAGCAGTGGAAGAAATATCCTGGGGTGAGGATAAAATAAAAAGAATAAAGCACTTACTGTGTTGCCTCCAAGGAAGCATCAAGTGCATTTAACACTAATTTATTACTATTTTTTAAAATCAATTCTAATAATATCATTTTTAAAAATATGTGGGGTTTTTAACTGATTTTAGAGAGAGGAGAAGGGAGAGGGAGAGATAGAAACACCAATGATGAGAGAGAGTCATTGATTGTCTGCCTCCTGCATGCCTCCTACTGGAAACCAAGCCCACAACCCGGTGACCCTTTGGTTCATGGGTCAATGCTCAACCACTGAGCCACCCTAGCTGGGAATTAATTTATTACTATTAGTATCACACATTTGCCATGAGGTTCAAAACCTTTTGCTCTGCACTGTTTTACTACATTTTGTTGAGGAAGAGCCACAGCTAGGAATTATTCTACGTTTCCCCAGAGATTTGTTTTCAAGGCCTCACTTTGTTTCACTAAAGCTCTAAAATAGCAGGAAGTTTTGGATTTTATTGAGTCAGCCCAGAGCTCTAGATTCCCATTATACAACAGCCCAAGGCTCTAATGTAGCTGGCCTTTCTTGTCAGATGCTCAAAGACTTGGTTCCCACATACGAAACCAAACAGAGAGTTAAGGAAACTGAAATAGTTTAGGTTTCCAGTGTGATATTTACCTGGGAAATTGTTTCAAATCCCTGAGAATTTGCCTTTGGAAAAGAACTATTTTCTACTTTCCCAGAATTCTAGGTCTTGAAACTTTATCCATAAAGAAAAGAAAAAAACAAAACAAAACTCTAGCTCTCACTCATTTATCCATTCATTAAATATTTACTGAGAAATTACTAGGTCATTTTCTAGAAGTTGGATGTCAAAGATGAACAAGACATAATCAGTTTTGAGGAACTTAAAGTCATTTAGGGGAGAGGCTCGGTGAGCATATGGTGATGTGAGTTGTGAGCCAGATCTGAGGGGATGAAAGGTCATATATTTCTTGAAGAATGAATAAGGGTTTGCAGAGATGAAACAGGAGAGAAGACCATTCCAAGAAGATAGTATAGCATGTGCAGAGAGTCAAAAAGTAAAGACCCTGGATTTACTGAACAGATGAGTGAGAAGTTGGGGGTGACTAGGGCATGGTATCCTCTTTCTCTCTCTCTTTCTCTCTCTCTCTCAGGCTGGGTAGGTCCACAGCCCAAGCCACACTCCTCAGGGCTGAGTAGAAGGTGAGAGCAGTGATACCTACAATTCCGATGCTCAGACCTAGAGGGGGACCACTAGCTCATTTACAAGAGGGGTCACCAATGGTCAGACCCTAGAAGCTTGTAAACTATTAATCTGTGTAAGTAGTAAAAGCATAAACTTTGCATAACTCAAGGGGATGGTGAGCCAAGGGGAAGATGTTTGCAGGAGCCAGCAAGATTCACTTAAAGGGCCTAGGCTAGTGCAGATATGTGTCAACAAGAAGCCCTGGGGGCAGAGAGCCACAGGTTTTGGGATTGTGAAGTGTCTTTCATGTCTTTCCAAGGTGTTGAGTTTCGCCTTTTCCTGCAGGCAGGGGGAACTGGCAGACTGTCTTTACACCTTTGCAGTGTGGCGAATGTTCAAAAAGGAAGGGATCGAGACAGGAATTCATGCTTAATTAGGCTGCTGCCGCAATGTTTCCCTGACCCCGTTAAGGTCTCAAGGAAGATGGTGGTAGTGAGGATGGAAAGAGGGATAGATAGAGTCTAAAGGGGCTTTTGGTCTAGATATGGCAGAGTCTTGTGATGCTGGAAGAAGGGGAGGAAGGAGGAAGAATTCTGTCAAGGGTGGTGCTCGAGGGAAATCTGGTGGGAATCTGCCTGTTGGTAGCATGGAACTGGGAATAGCTGTAAGAGGCAACACAGAACAGCCTTTGCTCCTGGTACCCAGCTCACCACTTTTCATGGTTAGTGCAATCGGTCCTGGCCGAAACCCTGCGAGGCGACTGAGGTACCACTGAAAGCTGAAGCTGCTTCCTTCACTTAGACAATTGGAAGTGACTGAGCTGGAGCTGGGACCTGCCCTTGCTGCCTTCCCAGAAAATCGAGATGTCACCCCAGTGTGAAAGCTTAAACAACTCCAGGATCTTGAAGGACAGGATGGGTAAAACCATTGGGATCTTCATGAGTGACTGAGGACCCCCAGGCAAATAAGTCACTGAGGGAAGACACTGGGTAAGAGAAAAGGGCCCAGGTAGGAGGAGCTGTGAGCTCATGATGTCCAGCCCACACTTTCCCCAGGGGCTTGTTTGGATGCACGGAATAGAGCAGGTGGCAAAAATGAAGGGTCTTTTTTCATGGGTAACCTTAAGACACTGAAGAACAGGTGGGGGAAGGGTACAACACATTGGCAGCCTCAGGAGGATTGGAGGTCTGAGGTGCAGGGTGGATAGTAACATCGTGTGGCCCTTTATCAGAGTATTTGAACCCTTAGGTGTCACCCCAGATGGTTTCAGAGGCCAGATGAGGAAAATGAGTTCTCCTCTGTAGCAGTCAAAGTGGTTCACATTTCAAGCAGACCCAAGGCACTCCTGGGGATTTCTCTGAACCAGTGAGGAATAATCTACCAATGGGCAGGGTCATGGACTTAGTAGTGCTTTGCTATTGTAACCTTGCTTTTCCCTCAGGAGAGTGCACGTGGCAGGAGCTGTGCAATAAATAAAAACAATAATGGCCAACACCTGTTGAACCATGTTCTCTGCCCCAGGTGTGGTACTAAGTGTTTACATGCATTATCTTATTTAATGCCCCAAATAATACCGAGAAGTCAATGCTGTCACTGTCTCATCTTACACATGAGAGAATGGACAAAAGGAGAGGTCCCTAAGTTTTGTCAGGAGTTAAAAGTTTAGGGACCGAAGATTCTACAAGCTTCATGTGACCATCACCCTTTTTTATTAAATTGAAAAGTCCAATTTGAGTACGTATTACAAAAACTCTAAGGCTACTTTGAAGATGGTGAGCATGTTCTCCTTTACTTCTGTAATTTGAAGTTTGTTTTCTCAAATGACTGGATATGTCTTGGGCACCCTGGAGGTGTGAAGTGGCATCACTATCCTACTAGCATCTGAAAATATGTTGGCCAGTTCTTAAAAAAAAGAGATTTTGAATGTGCTCTCTTAGTTATATTTGACCATTTGAGCAGGCTGCGTGAAAACCCCAGGCAGACAGCCTGCTCTGCAATTTGTTTTTAAAACAAGCTCTTCAGTCTTGTGAGTTGAGAGGATTCTGTTTAGAAGGTATACCCTGTGAATCACAGTTTCAGAGAGAGAAAACAATACAAATTTCAGGCAAGCAATTTGTAAAACTGGATTGCTGACAGAAACCCAGGAAGCAGCAGAAAAACAACCAACAGTCAAGTGCCTGGATGGAAGCTGAAGTAACCACGTGGAATGAGCCCAGGATGAAATGGATGAAAGAGGGAATAAATATTCCAAGAGGCAATCTAGTTTTGAAACACTGACAGAGTGCGATGATCTGAGCTTGACAGCATGTGGGAAGCCAGGATGGAAAATGGTACATAAGCTGCCTTCACCTGCCCCTAATGTATGCTCTGTTCACCACGGGAACAGGCAACAGAGTGTTTCTTTGATTAGATTCTGTGATTTATTATTTTCATGAATTCAATCAGTACAATTCTCTTTATATGATTACTTTCATATATTTTATGGTCTTTTTAACACCAACTAATACTTTTTAGCACCAACTAATGCTTTCTACCTTCAAAATGTGTCAGAGTCTCTCTATTCCTCACTTGAATATAAGCTCCACAAAGTCAGGGATGTTTATCTATTCTGTTCACTCCTGTATTTATAGAACCCAGAATAATGCCTAGCACATAGTAGTTGCTCAGCAAATGTTTGGTGAATGATTGGATGGGTAAACAAATGAACACCTGTTGCACTTTGGCAGGCAATATGCTAAGGGCTTTATTGATACATTTAATCTCCATCACAATCCTATGGGGTAGGTATTTACTATTAGTCTTGTTTTACAGATGAGCTAGCTGAGTTTCAGAGAAATTAATTAGCTCGTCCAGGATCGCATGGTTGTAAGGGGCAGAGAGACAGAATCAAACCCTGGCAGTCTGACTCCAGAATCCACTTCTCTACACTGTTGGTCTTCAAGCTTCATATTTTCACTTTTAGTTTTTCCTCCATCTCCCTACATTTAATTTCCTATAATGCTCTTCTTTTAAAAAAAATTATATTGTTGAAAGTATTACAGATGTCCCCTTTTTTCACCATTGACCCCCTCTACTCCCCTACCCCAGGCCTTTGACACATTATTGTCTGTGTCCATGGGTTATGCATATATAATGCTTTCTTTTGTTTATTTATTTATTATTTTATTTTTTTAAGTTTTTAAAAAATATATCTTTATTGATTTCAGAGAGAGGAAAGTAGAGGGAGAGAGAGAGAAACATCAATGATGAGAGAGTCACTGAGCGGCTGCCTCCTGCACACCCCTGACTGGGGATCAAGCCCGCAACCCAGGCATGTTCCCCGACTGGGAATCGAACCGCCATCTCCTGGATCCTAGGCTGATGCTCAACCGCTGAGCCAAGCCCGGCCGGGCTAAAGTTTATTTTTAATTACATTTTACATTCAATATTATTTTGTATTGGTTTTAGATGTATAGCATAGTGGTTAGATAATCATATACTTTACAAAGTGTTTCCCTGATATTTCAAGTACCCACCTGGCACCATATATAGTTATTACAATATTATTGACTATATATCCTACGCTGTACTTTACATCTTGAGACTATTCTGTAACTAACAATTTGTAGTTTTTAATCCCTTCATCTTTTTCGCCCAGCCCCCTGAACCACTGTCCCCTTTGGCAACCTTCAGTCTGTTCTCTGTGTCTGAGTCTCTTTCTATTTTGTATGTTTGTTTATTTTGCTCTTTAGATTCCACATATAACTGAAATCATATATTTGTCTTTGACTCATTTCACTTAGCATAATAAACTCTAGGTTCATCAGTGTTGTCACAAATGGTAAGACTATACTTTTTATGGCAGAGTAATGTTCCATTATATATATCTCACAACTTTTTTTAAAAAAATGGAGTTTGAAACAGTAGCTGTGAAGAATGAAAAAGGGAGCTTTTAAAAAAAAAAAATCCCCCCACGAGAATATGTTTTTATTGATTTTAGAGAGAGAAAGGAAGAGAGGAGAGAAAGAAGAGAGAGAGAGACGAAGAGGAAGGGGGGGAGAGAAAGAGAGAGAAACATTGATGTGACAGAGAAATATTGATCGGTTGCCTCCTGCACATGCCCCGACTGGGGATCAAACCTGTACCCTAGGTATGTGCCCTGACCGGGAATCAAACCCACCACCTTTTGGTGTACAGGGCACAGTCCAATCAACTGAGCCACCCAGCCTGGGCTGCACCACAGCTTTTTTATGAACTTGGCTATGGAAGCACTTAGATTGCTTCCATATGTTGGTTATTTTAAATAATGCTGCAATAAATATAGGGGTGCAGGTATTCTTTTGAATTAGTGTTTTGGGTTTCTTCAGATAGATAACCAGAAGTGAAATTGCTGGGTCATAAGGCTATATAACTCTCTTCTAACAGGTCAAACTATTTTGTACCAAAGTCTTTTTTACATGCAAAAAACCCTTTTTTTTCTTTTCTTTTAAAAGCATACATTGTTTAGTGTTCTTATTGCTTATGGTAAAGGGCCTTGAATAAGTTTAGATGTAGAAAAAAATTAAGACCAGAGAATGAAAATATTACCTTGAGAGTGAAAATGTTACCTTGAAAATAAATATTTATTTTCTTTTAAGAGACAATATGATTTTGATTTTTTTCAAATAAAAGCAAATTTATACTCATTTTCCTTTCAGTTTTAGGAAGAAAGTAACATGAGGCAAAATTACCCAGACCATAATATATAAATCTATTTTTAATTCTTAATTTTTATACAGCCTTACTAACTTTTCAGGACAATTTTATCTCTTTAAAATAAGTGATAATATGTGTAATGTTGTGTTTGGAGAGTACAGGCCCACCACTAAAGAAATAGATAAAAACATTATTTAACTAAAATTTGCAGGTTGTGCTGAGCTATCATTTTCTCATGATACTTCTTGTAAATTAGATATGTTTACTTGTTCAGGCAAAGGAAAATCAGAACAACTTGTTTTAACGCTGTATTCTGTTGGTTTGCTTAAGTGATTTTTTCAGTTCAATTTTGAACATATAATTAATTTACAATATTAAAACATCCTATGTGAAAGAAGCCCACCCTCCACCTTCTCCTCCCAATTTCCCATCACCTCTTAACCCCGGAGCCTGCCCAGTCCATGAAAACCATGCTCCCGCTGTCACCATCTCCACAGATTGGTCAATCCTTTTGCATTTCGGGAGAGGGTGAAGTAAAGTTTTGCTGACTGTGTGACCATCTATATGTTTGTTGGGTCTTCTAACTACAATCCGGCGGCATTGGAAGTGAGGAAGGATGTAGCATTTAAACCAAGCCCTTTACTAGTAGTAATTTTTCTAAGTTACATCAACTCCTCATAAAAAAAACTCACAATTTTAGAGCCATAGACTCTTAAGAGAGAGCTTAATAATTATCTCATACAACCTCTTAGGTAATTCAGAAATTGTATATTTGCTAACTCATTACTAAATATTTATAGAGAACCAAAGTTACAATTGCATTCCTAAGATCTTTTAAAATTATTATTTTTCCTATTGGAAATTTTTTTATGATTAACATGAAAAAAATGGCTATATAATTTGTGTCTATCAAACATGAAATCTAGATCGTATTTGAATGTGTGGGAAAATACGCCATGAAATTGCTGTATCTCAAAGCCCATTACTATCCTATGTCCTAATTTAGAAGGATCTCTCCCAGGAGAAAACATTTCACCTCCTGCTTTA